CCCAAGGTTTCGAATGATGTGAGAAAGGAGTCGACTGTAGAGAGCGGAACCGAAAGTGCCGCGGCGGAAGTGGAGAAAAAGTGATTGAGATACCATTCTGCAGAGCGGCACTCTTGTTGACAGTGTACTTTCTCTTTGCGCCATTCTTTTTTCATTTATGTACACGTTGGTGAGCGGATATCAAAGCGCAGCTCTGTTGCTCTCATCTTGGTTGGTTGGGTCTCATTTCCTACGGCATTAGAAGCGATATCAGTATGACATGTACACATAGACACGGCGATTAACGACACTAAAGAACTGAACGCATTCATCCAAACAAACTTCTGAGTCATCAAGGAACATGCTGGATTGAAAACGACCTGAGCCCAGAAATTTATCTATCGACACACTTCAGTGCCTTCACATCAACGCCATTTGACAGCTCAATGTCAATAATATAATAAGGGTCTCATTAACGGTTGTGAGCGCTTTCGTCGCTGTGAAGGCTTGAAGTGCTACCCTGATAGAAACTCACGTTGTTCTAAGCAGTTCGCGCTGTCGGACCGGCTCGCTTCTGCTACCTACTTACGTTGTTGCCCGTCGCTGCGGTATTCAGGGTGCTAGGGACTCATCGATCGAAGACGTTCCGTTTGGCTATGTTGTCTTCCATAATTACTGCGTCACAACAGCCAGCGTCTTTGCAGGCAGGATTCAAGCGTGACTGTTGGTTCACGGGGTCGTATACGACAAATAGTGGTAGCAATTATCACTCGTCTGTTGGTGATCCTATTGCTTGTTCGTCTTGTTTTTCTATCTTACATTGTAGGCAGGAGTCGGTCGAAGTAGGTAGTGACGGCCTGGGTGGTTGCCCCACCTTTATCCGGCCGTGATGACTAAGCCAGTTGTCCCACTTCGCCCAGGGCAGGTGCCAGCCAGCCCATGGTACCTGCCTATTACTCCTTATCAGCCTTTGCTGTTCCAACAGTGACGTACGTTTTGTTGCTTGTCGGTGTCGTGCTAATACAGGATAGAAAACTCTGAAAACAATCCCGTCATGGCGGACATATTCTCAGACGAATAAGTCTCAACGAGGACTTGCTAGAAGATACGGCTAGTTGATAGACTGGTCGGCCTTAAAGATAGAATGACTGAGCCTTTGCGACGCCAGTAGTTCTATTGCCATCTGGATATCAACTAAAAGCAATTGTTGACCGGGGAGGCTGCCCTCGTCACTGTGGGATGAACAGAATCGAAGGTGGAATCGTTATCTAGGAATCACTCTTTTATCCTCCCAGTGAACCATCACCCAGAACCTCTTTCTGGGAAGGAGATGCTGAGGCTTAAGTCCCTTGGCTTCCTTGAGCCGACACTACCATCCCATTCATTTCAGAAAAGGCACCGGCAGTCAAACCGGATCTCTCTTTTCGTTGTCGACGAGTAGGAACTGGCGAGTTATTACCTTGAAATTGCTTGCTGTCTCAGTTATCAGAGCTTGAGATTCTCGCGGGGGAGCTTTCAATTGCACATCAATCTCGCGTACTACGTTGACCACATGTTGTCGACGACACCACGGATGGCAGCTATCTATGTGTTGCAACAGGGAAACTTCTGCACGAGAAATGAGACGAACGTGCATCCTCCGAGACTGTGTGCTAGTTCACAGGTGCCGGATGTCACCGATGGAAATGGGCCTGATACGGCTTAGAAAGGCTCTTGTTTCTCGTTCTCTTCGTTCTCTTCGAGCTGTCCAATTGGTCCGAGGCTTTGCGAAGCTCTTGAAGCTCCATGGAGACTTCAAGAAGTTCTGAAGATCGAATTTGCGTTAGTGTAGGATAATTCAGCTCGCAGAGCTCTACTAAGACATGTTGTCGAGAGTGCTACTTTCCATGAAAAGGAAGAGATTCATCCGAACACATCCTCCGTCAGTTTTCCTGGCGTATTCGTTGCATGTGCATATGCCAGAAAGTGACTGGAAGCTAAATGAGTATGATCGTTAGCTAGACACTAGAAGGTAAGTAGAGGTTCTTTAGCTGTACCTTATAATCAATTACTAGCTCTCCCAAGAGTTCGGTATAGTCTCGAGTCCTGAGAAGGATAAATAGGATATCGTGGCGTCGAGTTCTCTAGATTGACTCTAGCTGTGTATTTATAGAATTGAAGAGAAAGATCGTCTGTCTATCTCATCCTTCTCATTCATCCTTGGCTGCCTCAAGCCATACGGAAGCCACGAGGCACGACCAGTTCTATACGTACGCCTCGCACAATACCTTTTACACACATAGAGACGGACAATAAAACATGACCGGCAATCTATAGTGTGTCTTGGCAGAGAAAGAATGGCAGGACGGAAAAGGTGAGGGGAAGGTCTTTCTCCAAGGCTATAGAATACAGACCGCCCGCTATCCGTTCCAAAAACCGACCCGGTACTATAAACATGCTCCTCTCCGCTTTCCAAAACCCTTTTTCGTTCATCATTCGTCTCGAGCACTCTCAAAGCGGACCGAGGAAGATTATGGAAACGGACTCTGGGTTTCTACACCTCGTTTGTCAGCATCTTTCCTAAAGCGAAAGGTGAAACGGATCATTTGCAGGCGGGAGGGCAGACATCTTCACCAAAACGCCAAAAAGTGACTAGGTACTCTGGGAATGTCTAGTAGTTGTAAAAAATGCTTCAGACCTATTCGAAACCTCATTCTATATAATCTCTCATACCTTTGGCCGAGTTTCCGATGAAAAGCACCTCTATCTATGGGACAGCCCCTGATCTCTCTCTCTCTCTCTCTCTCGGGGAGAACACAACGTTTCTACCACCGTGAGGCGCAACGGCTCTGCATGCCTCGACCCATCAATAAACGGCCCATTAACTATCGCCCGCACACCTGCGGCTCTTACTGAACGTCGATAATAGTCAGTTCCAACCATGCCTTGGCCATACAGTCTTGCTAATCCCTCTAGACACCTTGGCATGACCCCTGCTCGTGACATTGTCGGGGTTGTTTTCTATAATGCCTACCCCTTCAACTTTGATACCGATCAACCTACGATGAGTCGTCTTCGACAAACAGTGGAGTGAAGGGGGCGATTGTGGTCGTGATGCCATGGGAATATCCACCCTCGGGTATAGAGCCATGGGACCCTTAGAATTCTCTGTCTCGTCACACCAATTTTCGTAACTGATATCTTCCCATTTTCTACTGTCCCTTATAAAAGCGCGATAGGCGGGAGGGCAGCGAACATGAGCTGGTCAGGATAGACACACCTAAACTTCAGGTCGATCTCTTGGAGGCCGGGGACCTGGCACGTTAGGTTCTTGCAAAAAGTCGGAAGCGCGCTATTTTAAGAAACTAAATATACCAAAAAGAAAGATCGCCCCGTTTCCCATCTAGCCTCCATTGCATTGGTATTCATACTGGAATACATACTCGGAAAAGCTTGTGAAAAGACGGTATACCTTAGCTCCTAAACCCACAACGAGCCTCGATAGCGTTGAACACGCGGACTTGCACCTATAACCAATTCCGCCCGGTTTGGCGATCCCATCGAAGTGAAACATACATGGGAACATCGTGGCGTGGATAAATCTTGAGTTCAGTGCGTCGCAACAACCCAATTTATACCTCTATCAAAATACCTGCCTGGACCCTCGGCACAAGGAAGATTATAGCTACGCAGCAGATAGCTCAGCTCCGCCGGATGGTGTGGACTGCCGCCGCGCTCCAGGTCAATGTTGCGTGGTTCTGTCAAAGGTTCGCTAATTCACATGACAAGACGTTGCTTCGCTCTCCCAACGGCCAACAAAGAAGAGCACACCCGAGTGGCATACCCGATAGCAAAGCCTCCGCTTGCCACTAAGGGTATCGGCGGCCAAGAACTCTGCATTGATGTATCTTCTGCCAGATGTACCCGTTTCTAGAGACCAAGCCTCCCCAGACCACCCAGACTAGGTTAGGTACCTTACCCAGATTCCTCATGCAAATAACCCAACATACCAGACTCAAGGCCAGTCCACTCACAAAATATAACATGATGAAACCCAGTCAAGACACTTGAACTAGTAATACTCCATTCGTTTTGGCCTAACCCATTCTGCCCGTACCAGCCTTTTACCGACCACCACGTCAATCACGCCGAGGCCAAGCGCGCCGATCCCCGAGAAAAAAGGACCTGGTCCACCCAGCCCCGTATCCGCTCCGATCACGGCCCCACCTAACTTCCAGCAAGCCCCGCTCCCACAGACCCCGCCGCTCCCCCTCACTTCCGTCCCCCGCACCGTTTCCGCCCCGTCACCAGCCCAACCTCCTAACCCCGACAGACTCCAAATCACGTTATCCATATGTCACAAGTAAGATCCAACATCATTGAATCTCATCACGCCCGACTCGATACATTGCCTCAAGCAGAGACTAACAATCAGGTACATCCTCGGGCCATGAAATCAAAGACGCAACTTTTCCATTCATGTAAGTAGCTAGACACAAAAAAAAAGTTTTGGCTTCGCCGGCATTTCAGCTCTAGCTCTAGCTCTAGCCTCCAACAACAAAATCAAAGCGCCCATAACGCCGTTTTCCTCATGCTGTAGATCTGCCAGCTTCCAACGTGAGGCAAAAAGCTGATAGCCCATATGATATGCGTCTCAGCTCGGGGGCAAAAAGTGAACGTCCCTTCCATCATGAGATGCGTACAAGTTGCCCAGCGATTACCCTCTGACAATAATCAAAACTCTCCTCCGTACCAAAGGGGAACTGATCTCGCCATGGGATATATATTCCAATCCCACTCCAGGTAGATATCAAGTCCCCCCTTCCCATCCCATCTCCTTTTCTGAACCATGATAATGGCGCAGTAATATCATCAACCCGTATGCTGCGACGAAACATCATGCAAACAAAATAAATAAAAAGTTCCGCCGCAAGACGCGGTCTCGACGATGAGTCGAACCGAACGATGCAATGCAAGTTTCCCAAAACACAACGCCTTTTCCCACTCCCAAATCCAGACATATAGATCGCCGACGGCGGCCGTCATGACGAAGTAGAAACGGGAGACGACGGACCCCTCGCCAGACTAAGCAGGCTGCTCACGATACCACCCGAAACAGCACTTGTCGGCTCCTCGTCGTTGTTGTTACCCCGGCCGGCTTTGAGGTCATCCATCTCCAGACGCGGCAGCACGCCGACCACGCTCCGAGGTTCCTTCTCTTCCTGCACCTGCTGCGTCGGCGTCGCCGATTCGGCCTCGTCAGTCTCCTGCTCTTGCTCGGGCTCGGTCTCCTCGACGACCTCCTCGGCCTCGTTCTCGGGAGGACCATCGCGGCTTGACGGCGGCTGCACCATGACCCTCGGCAGGGCCCTCTCCGTCGTCTGCGTCTGCGTCTTCGTCTCCTGCTGCTGTTGCTGCTGTCCCGGTCGCGGCTTCACCTGCAGCTTGTCAAGGGGTACGTTCTCCTGCCCCGTCTGGAGCTTGTAATTCGCGAGTCCGAGTTTCAATCGAAGGATCCGAGCTTTCTATATAACCGAAACACCAAAGTCAGCAATCACGTCTTCCAAGCATCTACCCAAAGGTATCATCCGGTACTGTAGAGTACCGCAATGGGAGAAATCAGTCGTACCTGTCGCGCCTCCTCGCGGGTCAATAACCTCCTCGGCCTCGGCGGCGGCAGGGTCCTAGCCTGCTCTGCATCGGGCTCGGTGAGGATGGTGGTGTTTTGAGACGTGTCCATGGCGGAGGTGTCGAACACGGCCGACGTGTCGGGGGACGCGGAGCGGGTTCGCGGTGTCTCGTGCCGCGACTCTTCCTGCCGTTCTGGCAGTTCGTCCTCGCCCTGCACCTCTGGTTCTGGTTGTTGTTCGCTGTGCTGTTTCTGCTCTTCTAGTTGTTCGTTCTGGCTCTGTCGGTAGTACGCGTATCAGTACACCGATTCCAACGCATACCTGTCAATTGATTTTTTGGGAGATATCTTCTCACCTCCATGGCGTCGGGCTCAACGTCCATCTCCATCTCCGTCGGTGCGGTCGCGGATGCAGAGGCAATAGCTGGAACTGATGAAGTAGCTTCAGGTGCCAATGCAAGTTCTCGTGCTGGTGCAGGTGCAACTACAGGTGCAGCAGATACGAGGGGTGCGGCGGCGGTGGTAGCATCAGCATCAGCATCAGTAGCAGTAGCAGTAGCAGTAGCAGTAGCAGAGGCGGGTTCCTGGCAATGCTTCTTCTTGGGAACGAGGGCGTTCTCGTCAAAGATGTCGACGGCGGCGATGGACCTCTTGAGATTGAGAGCCTTGATGGGACTCTGGCTCTTACGCGGCGATTGAGGACCGGCGCCCACCTTGGAGTGTTTGTGCAGCTTCGTGGGCGACGATATCGCGTTCACGTTCGCGTCCAGGGGCGCGAGGGCGCGTCTCTTTGCTGGTGATGAGGGGTCCATGATCTCTCTGTGTGTAGCGTGTGTTTGTGTTGATGGGTAAAGACCGTGTAGTATGTTTCCTTTTTTTTTCTTCAAATCTTCCTGCACCACCGTTGAAAGATTGGAAATGGTTTCCGAGGGGAAGGTTTTGGGGGAAGAAAGGGAGGGAGAGGGAGGGATGGGGGTCTGGATCCTCGCAGTGGTTGGATGGAGGTGGGTAGGTGTTTGGCGGGATTGGGAGCGTGTTGGTGTGGAGGAGGGGAGGGATGAGGAGGGTTGGAGAGAAGGCAGATCAGGTGCGTGTAAAGTACCTTTGCTACAAGCCCAAGGTAATACCTAGTAAAGGTGCACGGAGAGGGGATATGGGAAAGAGGAAGAGGTAGAGAGGCGGAGAGGAGAAGGAGAGGAGAAGGAGAGGAAAAGGAAGAGGCGGCAGAGTTGCTATTCCCACTCAAATCGCCAATTTACAAAAAAGCTCTCAAGCGAACTTCTCAGAGCGTGTTTCGTGGCGTGCCGTGGATGGAGCTGAGGCGCCGCTGCTGGGGGATGGGGGGAGGCGCCCAAGAGCCCGTACGAATACACGGCACGGTACCCAAGGTAGGCCTAAGCCTAAACCTAACCCGAACGAATGAAGAACGGCTTCCGCCCGCGTGCAGCTGTAGCAACACAACAATGCGGTAGCTAACCCACTGAACGGAGGGGGGGACTGAGCCTCTGACGGGACGGGTAGGTGTGCTTCCTTCCTCTGCTGCCCGTGCGTTTTATTTTCTAAACAAAACAATCAACAGCAACAACACTGTTTGTTGACGTTTGACATTTAAACGTCTGATGTTTCCAATGTTCAACGTTGCAACAAACCTTGAGAACTCGAGGGAGAAAAGATTAATATCTCACAACCAAGGGGGAAGGAAAAGGGGGGAGAAGCAAGCCATGGACGATTCAAATGTGTTGGTTATTCTATGGAATATGATAATGATCCAGGTCACACAGACAAAGACGCGTAAAGGGTGGTGGTGCACCTCTTGACCGTTTGTCTGAGACCAGGAGGGAAATATGTAAAAGAGTAGGGTAGCGTCCCAGGCACGCAGCACACAGAGGATGGTGACCGCGTAGGCCGCGTTAGTAGCGCACTTTCCGGCTTCTTCACTGCATGAACCTCACTGTAAAACCAAGTAACCTAACCGGCAAAAAAGAAAGAAACCTGCACGAGAAAGAGCAAAGGAACCGCCCCAAATCGCGGCCCGCTTCATCGCCTTCCCCCCCTGTTTGGTGGCTGGCACCTTGGTCGCGTACCCCTGCTGCGTCAAAATCCAAACCCGCCGGGGCACGTCACTGCTTTCGTCGGCGCCAGCATCCGTGGACCGCTGAGAGTTCCAGGCGACGGGACCTTTACAGTGCACTGTAGCGCTTTTCAGGGGACCTGTAACTGCAACAACCTATGTATGTTCCAGAGCGCGGCTTACATAAGGACACCTCACCTCAGTAACTAACACCTGCAGAAAAGTCCCCAGAGGCGCGTGTGTCTTTTCCAATGGAAGGTTGCAACTTGCAAGGGTCCGCTAGCCACCGTCGATCGCATCTGGTCTAGCGCTAACGAAACATGAAATGCAGGTACCGGGGGGCACGCCCGTTCAGGGTCCACGCTGCTGGGATCGACGTGACAGACAGACACCCGACCTTTTCCCCCCCGACCATCCCAGACCGTCCCAAAGAACCAACCCTTCCTGTCACTGTTAATCGGGTGTAATATCAACACCACGCGTCGTTGGCCTTGATACTGCCACTGGCATGGGCCTGTCCTCCCTCCTCCCTTCTTGTCATCCTCCACCTTCAATTCGACGAGCTTCTGTGCATCCTCTCATTGAAGCCGAAACTCTGGAGCATATGACAACATCTCAATATCACAGCTTCAGGACACGCTTGTTTGTAAACTCGGGTATCATTCCTCTCGCCCTTGCGAGAGTTGCGCTGACGCTTTCGTCCTCGCCAAGGAAACTAACTAAAACAATTCGGCCTCCCCTCCCTCCATACATACAACGCGTAGAAGTAGTTGTCTCTCCAAATGAAATGATCCTCAAAAGACGGCAAAGAAAAGAAAAGTGAAAAGTAATCGTCGTCGTCGCATCCTCAAATCACCCAAGTCACACACTGAGCCAAACGTCGCCCATGCCACGACTGCTCAGGTAGTCCTCTCCATATATCAAAAAAAAGAAAAAAAAACCCCCCACAAACGCTCACGAAAGAGACCTGCCCAGAGACTGCACACTGAGCCAGTCTACAACCCTGCCAGAGGAACGCCAAACCCTTTGCTTTTCCCAATGCTAACCTTGCCCACCCATCCAATGAACCGGCTGGTCGTCATTCGTGGAATTCTCTCCCGGGGGTATCCAGCATCCGCTTTCCATCGTCTTTTTCGGTCAACTTTTGTTCATCTGCTTCCTCTCTGTCACTTCGCCCCTTCATCTCTGTTCCTCACATCGACGACGAGACATCGAGTGAGTACAGACTGTTGTCGAACTGGAACGGCTTGTTGAAGTCGTTTGTCACTTCATCCCAGTTAGGGAACTGCTCCATCGGCATCGCCTCCTCTAGCATCAGCCCCTCAAACTCGGCCCCACCGTCCAGTCCGTCCATGTTGATGTTGTTCATATCGAGAAGCACGTCCATGTCGACTGGTTGCCAGTTGAGGTCAATGTCCAAGTGGACACCCTCGGAAATATCGCTGTTGGGCTCCGATGATCCGCTGTCCTTGCTCGACTCTGGTGTATCGTTTGGTGTCTGTGACCGGTACACGGCCATGTCGCTGATGACGCCGTTGGCGCCGAGCTCGAACTTGCCGAGGTTGTTGAACAGGCTCTGTGGGTTGATCGTCGTTGCCCACGCATCCATTGGCGGAGCCGGTGCGACCGCCATCTCGGGCTGCTTTTGCTCCATCTTGGTAGTGTTGTCCGTCTTGCCAACCGCGAGCTTGTTGTCCTGTGCTTTCCCTCCCATCTTGCTGCCTGTGCGCTGCATCGACGCATCTCGAGACATTGGTGTCGCAACCGGATTGCTGGCTGGTGTCTGGCCCTGTTTGGATGCGTTTTGGCCCATTGGCTGCGCAGTGACTGGCACCTGACCGTTGACATCCAATCCCAAAGAGAGAGCCAAGTTCTCTTGCATGAACTTCATAGGGTCCTCCAGAGGCTTGACGTGCTCCTCCTGGATATGCGTCTGTCGCGCCTGCTCTGAGGGGAAGCCCGTTGTCGCCATCTCGCAGTCTGTCTCGGGACACAAGAACATAGGCTTTGGCGGCGCCTTAGGTTCGGGCATAGCTTGCCTCTTGAGTTCCGGAGAACCAGACTTGCTGATCTGGGGCGACGGGGTTGTCTGGCTCGGCTGCTGGGGCGGCGTCGGTTGAGCCCCAGTCTTGGCCTTCTTTCGCGGGTTGGGCAGTTTCAGGTTGTCCCTGTTCACCTTTGGCCTGTCCATGTAAGTAGGATCGCCATGCGGAGAGGTTGCGTTGAACGGGAACGGAGGCTGGCTTGTCGTTGGTGCAGCTGGGGGCCCGCCGCTCTTGCTGTTGGACCGCTGGTGCATGTTGTTCAGAGCCTTGGTCTGCTTCTCCAAGTTGGCGGCACTCAACGGCGTCACCTGTCCGCTTTGAGCAGGAGTACCACCGGCCTGGTTCGGCGCTGCGGGTTGGCCTTGCTGTGGTGGCACGGCACCGGCCTTCTTGCCGAGGCTGGCACAGTCGCGCGCCATGCTCTCCAGGAGTCGACGAACCTCATCAATCTCGGCGGGCCTGACACTGAAGACTGGCTTGGGATTGTTCATGTGTTCGCCGTCAGTGAATTGTCTGATCATGCGAAGTCGCTAGGTCATGTTAGCAAAATGAATAGGCCAGTACGAAGCATGATTGTCCACTTACAGCTCGGAAGTAGCTCTTGGCGCGCGCATCATCACGAGTCGCGGCATACCAGCGGCCCAGGGCCTTTCCAATCTTGCCCATGTCGACCACGATCTTCATGAGCTTGGTGCAAGTCTCTGTACGCTGGTCTGGTGACATGGGAATATCCGGCATATGTTCAGTCATCATCACTTTCTGCTCTTCTTGGCCGATGCGCCTGAGCTTGTCAAAGTCGTTCTCCGTAGGTGCAATACCCGAGTTTGCAGCTTGCATGGCCTGCTGGCGACTCTTCATTGCCTCATACTTGGCCCTTTGCTCGGGATTCATGGCCGCTATTTGCTCCGGGGTGAAGTTCGGGAACGGGCGCATCTGACCCGGTACAGCAGTAGGCCTCTGAGGTTGCTGAGATGCCTGAGGGACGTCGGCAGGCTCGTCGGTGCTAGGTCGCTTGAGGTTCTTCTGCTGCGTCGCAGGCGAGCGATTCGGAGGCTGTGCTTGGTTGCTCGAGGCCGGCCGGTTGTTGTTCCTTGGTACCGCGGCGTTGGCAACAGCCTTCTGATCAGGAGTAGCGCTCTGATGCTTCGGTGGTGCTGGTGGTGCTTGGGCAGGTGTCGGGGTGATGCTTGCTGGGAGACCGGGCTGTGGCATTTGGGGTTGTTGAGGTGCTACCACCGGGACGTTCTGTCCTCCCGGCGCCGGTAGCCCTTGTGACTGAGCCTGGCGCATGGCCATCTCTTTCTGCATTGCGGCAGCCATCTGCCGTTGTTTGATCTGGATGATGAACTGTCGCAGTTGATCGTCGGTAAGGCTAGCAATCTTAGGGTTCGCCTTGCGAGCGTTCATGATATCAGTTGGCGTCACCTGAATCATGTGAGCTGGAATACTCGCCATGCCAGGCGGCATGCCTGGTTGGTTGGGTGCCTGCAGATTTTGTACGCCGTTGCCAGGCTGCATCCCATTCGGCTGCGGCTGGGCTTGCCCTTGAGGTTGAGCTTGTTGAGGTGGCTGCGCAAGTTGCTGTGGTTGAGCCTGTGGCGGAACCTGCTGTGGCGGCTGAGGTTGAGGCTGTTGTGGTTGCGGCGTTGGCTGTTGTCCTTGCTGCGCTGCCTGCGCTGCCTGTGCTGCCTGCTGC